ACCAGGAATTTGCAGCGATTCCAGGTTACCCAAGTGAAACACTTAAAACAGTGTCTATCTTGGACAAGAGAATGTTAGGAATGGACCAGAGACATCTCTACAGGTTGCTGGAGTTGAGTGGAGTTAATTGGAAAATTTTAAAGAGGTCTCAGTTAAACTGTTTGTTTGATGGGGAGCAGAAGTTAGTGAGCTGGTTACAAGCTGTATATGTGTTACGTTGGATGGGTTTGTGTTATGCAGAAAATGTGAAGAAATATCTCGTGATGGCTGGTTTGTTGCAGTCTTGCAGTGATCCTCAAGTGAAAAGAGTACCAAGTAACCACCAGCAAAGGAAGTTTGTTAAAACTTGGAAGTGGAAATACAAATTTCTGCAGCCGTTTGGGAACTGTGGTGTGCACCTTGAGATCATGGAACAAAAATATATGAACGACACCAATTCTGATATGATTTCTGCAGCTACTTGGCAGTGCTGGTTCTTAACGTTGCAGCAACATGGGTCTTTTTATGAGGGTGATTCTATCATTAGGCTCAGCACAAGCTTGAGGTCAAGCTTATTTTCAAGGGTGGGAGTATATGAGAGGATACTTATGTGCTTGTTGATCTTGGCTCCGTGGATTTGGAGATATGATAGAGAAAAAGAGAAGGAATCTGAGCTGTTGATACAAGAGCTGTTAAGACTGAATCGCTTGTTACCTCAAGACAACGGCTTGTTATTAATGCAGCACGAGGGTAATCTGCTACGAGTGCGAATACAACAAAGTCATAAGAAGAAAAAGTCTTTTAAGACGTATATGTTTAAGTACAAACAACAGCTCAGCAAGATAAGTGTTTTGATAGAAGTTCTGCAACCTAACGTACACGGAACCTATGTGTATAATACAAGTGGAGAGGATGGCAAGGTGCAAAGCCGTGACTGTGGAGGATTGCGGAGTGGCTCGTCTGTTCACAGGAGCAGCAAAGTGATGCAACAAAGGAGGAGAAGTAAAATGCCCAAGTCTTGGATGTTCAAGTATAAAGAGAAAGAGGAGACTTCAGCTGCTACATTTGCCATTTGCAGAAGCTACAAGACCTGCAAGAATGAAGAAATGATAAGTCCTATCATGATATTTTCCATGAGCACCAGCAGTTTCTTTTCTTATCCCAAGCTTGTGGGCAAGCTTGTTGTTATGGGGGAAGTATTGATAGATATCAATCTATCTTTACACGGCCTTGGCAAGCAAGGAAGATGACGTGGCTAAATGAAGGATGGTTGAGAAGACTCTGGTTCATAAAGAAGCTTTGCAGTTGGAATAGCTAAAGCAAATAGAGAAAGAAGAAGACGTCGTATAAATACAGAGCTTGATCGAGGAAGAGGTTTATGCTTTGATATTGTATGAAGATTGACGCCATGAGTCATCTTGACCCGATCGCCATGAGATCGGTGACGAAGGTGAAGCTCGCCATGAGAGCCTAGCCGGAGTCAGCTCAAAGCTATTCGTTTATCATCTTGTAATCTCTGTTCTTGCTTGTAATCTGACATTGAAGATCAATAAAGGAGTTAGGGATTTCTAAATTCTATCATAGACTTGCTCTCAAGATCTCTCTTTGTCACTGCTACATAGATTTTCTTATCAATCACCGTCTCTCTTTTGATAATCTCCATTGATTCACCATCATTGCTGCCACCTGTAGATCCAGCCATTTCCACCTTTTCTTGAATCTTTAACTTCATCGTCACTCCGGTCCACACATAAAAAATTGAGTAATCCTGCAGAAATGAGTGGTGAAGATTTGGTCTAACACAGTATTTTATAAGCCAAACTATTCAACTTCTAGATGTATATATATAGGGAGAAGCAAAAGGCTGCGATTATAGGATAAAACTCGTTATCTGATCAATAATCCGTGTTAATTGTAGTCTTTATTACAGAAGGGTAGTTACATATATTACTTAGAAATCTGTGAGTAGATAAGTATCTGACTTTCAAAGAACCGACCAAATAATCTGAAAGTGATGGTCTCAGTCTTTGTCAAGAGAATTTAAGAACATAGGAAAGTGAGAAAGAAATTTCAGCTGTAGTACTAAATAATCTCAGAACATTCTTAAGTCTTGTGTCGTCCAGAGTTACGTATGCATGCTTACTTCAGCGCCGATTTTATGTTTTTACGGTTATGGCCCTGCTAATCATCCTTTTTTCATATTAATAATAGTAAGATTGTATTTAGAACATTCTTTTCAAGGAAAAAAATGAGAAATTCAGTTGGATTAAAAGGCTGTTCAATATGGTAATATCGGACCGTACCGAACCGAAATAGAGAATATGGTTTGGATTTGGTATATACCATATAAACCGAATGGATATGATTTTATAAAAACCGTAGGATTTGGATATGGTTAGGTTTATAACCGATTAAACCGAATAAACCGAACAAAACCGATTAAAGAAAAAATATATAAATATATATGTTATATAACCATTTATTTTCTTGGAATAGTCTTTTTTTTTTTAAAAAAAAAATTTCATTCCTTGTGAAAATATATCTTAATAATTTTATTTTATTTTCTTCGATTATTATCTAAATTGATTTGATTTTGCATGTTGTAATAAATTGTGAAATTAGATTGTACCATGTAATTTATTTGGAAGAACAAAGAGAAAATAAGAAAAACTGTACAAAACTGAATCATTGGTCGTTTTGTTTGTTGTTAATTTCACATTTTTATATTTATGAACACCTAGTAATATTTTAATAAATGATAGTTTTGACAATATGTTTTTTTTTTTTAAAATTCATATAATATGAAACCAAATCAAATAATAATGTTATTTGGTATAAAACCGAATAAACCGAAAATCGGTAGTATAAATACCGAACCAAACTAAATTAAATATGGTTATAATATGATAGCTAATTTTTATAAACCGAATAACCGAAAACCGAAAAAAACCGAATCGAAACCGGGACCGAACACCAGATTGAGCAGGCCTAACTCAAACTTACTTACAGAAAGTAACCATTAGATATTCTAAGTGATTTAGGTCTTCAGTGTTTACTTCAAAATCATTAAGCAAACATAAAGTAAATCATGGAAATCATATTCTTTTAAACTGGTCTTGTAACCTATTTAACTTTGAAATAGTGCTTGAACAATTTATATGTAATAGACTGTAAATAATTGAAGTTCCCCTTTTAAATGAAAGAAAAATAATTATTTCCTTGGACTATTTCAAACATAGCATTTTAAACATATATTTATACTTAAAAGTTTTAGTTATTTCATAATATCAAAGCATGGATCTATGAACTATAATTTAAAATCCCTCAACTTTTGAGATTTTAGCTTTAGTTCCTTGATTTTGTGATTTTAATTTTTGTGATCTTTGATATTTAAAGTTATCGCCTAGCTTTTGTTTTAATTTTAATATTCGAGTTTAAAATTTTAGTCCTAAAGACCATCACTGTTGAGGGTACTGGGTCTCTCACAATTTTCCAATGAAATTATAAGCTCGATAAGTCAAATAAAGACAACTTTGAATTTCGTTATACTCTTCCCATCAAATAAAGTCAAATAATCTTTTGAAAAGAGAAAAAAATATGACAATGCAAAAAGATATATATTTAAAAACTGGTAAATTTTATTAGTTTTGAGAATATTGTAATTTTTTAGTATAAATTTGAATTTTGTATCGATTGATTTTTTATATATTATTTAAGGGTCTCGATATTGTGTCTCGGATTCTAATCTCATCTTTTCAAGTTGCTCTTTAGCTTCCTTCAATGCCTACTCTGCTTTTTTTTCCTACGCTTCAACTCATTGAGATACCCATTTTCATATTCTTTAGCCTACATATATGGTCACAGATAAGAGCTACTAGAAAGTTAAATACTTCCTAGGGAAAGAAACATGCCAGAGGAACATATTATTGTACCCTTTTTGCACTCTCAGCTTCTTTGAGTGCTACTTGGATCGGAGCATCATCTTTAGCCATACTCGAACTTGGAACACTTTCAGTTCCTTTAGTTATCTTAAATTGACTCAAAGAACTTGATGGTGTACCTTCTAAACAGACCCGGACTTGACCCAAAACATGTGATACAAAGGTATGGGACCTACTTATTTTAGGCCTATTTTTTTCATTGTCATTAGTTATTGATTATATCAATTTGCTATATGCACATTAAGGATAAGTAAAGAAAGAGAGGAGATCTTGGAGAAGGACGTGGAAACGAGTGTTTAATTACTTCTTCCTTATACTCCAAGAGTGCTTTGTTGATCACTTATCCTACTTGAGTCTATTTGCTTGCAAAACTTTGGAAAATAAAAGGGACAACTATTAGAAAATAAATCGTAATAAAAACAAGAAGCATGATGATGGTTGAATGGTTCAGGATTTGACCTTGGCATGATGTGGATGCAGCATAATTCCCAGGAGATCATGGGTACACTAAAACCTGCAGCCACAAACCAAAACAATATTACACAGTTGATCATAATAAGCACGCAAAATCCAAAAAAGCCTAATGTTAGATCAATTTTTTTTTGTAAAGAAAATCAACCGAAAACATTATATGGTAATAAAAGAAATTGCAAATATTTTCAAAAGATTTGATAATTGTACTTCCCATATTTTTGGAGATATGATTATCGGTAGATTACAGCTTCTTCTATGCGTCGAAACAGAAAAAAGGGCACAGAAGCAAATTCTAATTATTTTAGATTTTTGAGGTGTTTGTAGATTTCATATCCATGAAATCATGATACCACATTTCATTTATATTTTAACCAACTTTACCTTCAAAATTTTAATTGACAAAATACTTATATACACTTAACTAATTAGTCCTAAAACTAACTCATTGCTGAGCCATCAATTGACGAACAAACTCATCACGCCGCCGCCGTCAATTTTAAAAACCACCTCCGTTCACGGTGGCTCCCTTCCACTGACTCCTCCTCCTCCATCTCTCCGATCACACCTCCCGAGAAGGAGCAGATCAAGACGCTAATCGTATCCCTCATGCTCTCGTCTTCCCCTAGAATCCAGATTCAGCTCAGCGAAGCTTTAGCCGTCATCGATAAACACAATTTCCCGAGACATTGGCCTGGTTTTCTTCCGGAGCTCGTCTCCAGCCTCCAGAAAGCTTCTCTCGTTGGAGATTACGGTTCAGTTAACGAAATTTTAGGGACGGCTAATTCCATTTTCAAGAACTTTAGGCATCAGTTTAGAACCGATGAGCTGTTTCTTGATATTAAGTATTGCCTTGGGATTTTCACTCTTCCGTTGGAAGATATCTTCACTAAAACTGATTCCTTGATTAATGATTCCGCTATGAGTGGATCAGTAACAAACATTAAACCTTTATTTGAGTGTCAGAAGCTTTGCTGCAGGATATTTTTCTCGTTGAACTTTCAGGACTTGCCTGGGTTCTTCGAGGATCATATGAACAAGTGGATGGAAGTGTTTCAGAAATGTTTATCGTCGAATTTCCCTGCCTTGGAAAGCACAGAAGATGGGTTGAAGCTTGTGGATGCGCTGTTCTGTAAATGTTTTGTTTGGATGTTAGGGAAGAAGTTGGAAGAGTCTGGGGTTCTCACTGAGTCTCTAAGGTTAAGAAGTAACACGTGGGGTCTTCACATGCCGCTTGTTTGTCCTGATGGTGCAGTTGTTGCTTATGCTTGGAAGAGACAGCTTGCTGGCCAAGCTGGTGCTTCTGCTGTTGATATAACTAGGTATCTTTCACATTGTGTGTGTATAAAGATTTTGAGTATAACTAAGTGTTTAGATTCGAGTATAACAACTTAGAAGTGGAGAGTAGATTGTGGCTCATGCCGTTATGGTGTTGGAATGATCATTAACCTTATTGAATCATATGCAATTTTGGAGTGTCATCAGCTAAGCTTGTTAAAACTTTGAATACGTCAGATATGATTGTTAATGACTGTAGGTTATCTCTCAAGGCTTTCACGGATCAAAAGAGGTGTTTTCCCTCACATTGACGATGGAGTAAAGATGGAACCAAGATCAAAGAAACATCGTGCTTCCTATTCACTATTAGAACATGGAGGAGAGGAGCCGGTTAACTACAGAACATTGGCAGATATACAGTCGCGTTTGGAGAAGCTGGTCCCAGATGTGAAAGTTTCTACATATGGACGGTTGAGTGATGATAGGAGTTTTTAGATTCCTAATCAAATGTTATAGTATAAAAGATGTCAAACCAGTTCTAAGTAATCATAAACCAAAGGAATTGCAAGATAAAGCTTAATCTAAGTGCTATCAATATTGAGATGGTTTTTAAAGTAAGAGACTACTAAATAAGCAATAAAGATCAAAGCTTTCTTTCAGTTAGTGAAGGCTAGACTCATGGGAATAGGTATTTGGTTTAGGTGATCAAGTTTCAATCTAAAAATAGCAAGCTTTCAATCAAAGTGTTTCCTTAAGTGTAAACAACAAAGCTAAGCAAATTCTAGGTCTAGACAATTGCTCATTTGCTTTCATTAATCAAACACAAATGGTCATTGACTTAATTAATTCAAGCAATCATTAGGATTAAGTTTAATAACTATCTAAATCCCCTAGATACAAATGATCATTGGCTAGGTAGTATTGAAGCTAGATGAGTTGGTTCATGTTGGGGTCAAAATCGGTACGACGGAATCAATGGCCGAAACTCCCTGCAGAAATATAAAAGGAATCGTTTTGTAAAACCCGAAGAATCGTTTTATAAAACTCGAGGATCGTTTTATAAAACTCGAGGACCGTTTTATAAGACTCGAGAATCGTTTTATAAAACCCGAAGATCTTTTTATAAAACTCGAGAAGCCGTTTTATAAAACTCGAAGATCGTTTTATAAAACTCGAGAAGCCGTTTTATAAAACTCGAAGATCATTTTATAAAACTCGAGGATCATTTTGTAAAACTCGAGAATCGTTTAAAACTCGAGGATCATTTTATAAAACTCGAGAAGCCGTTTTATAAAACTCGAAGATCGTTTTATAAAACTCGAGGATCGTTTTATAAAACTCGAGAAGCCGTTTTATAAAACTCGAGAAGCTGTTTTATAAAACAAGAAGATCGTTTTATAAAACTCGAGAAGCCGTTTTATAAAACTCGAGAAGCCGTTTTATAAAACTCGAAGATCGTTTTATAAAACTCGAAGATCTTTTTATAAAACTCGAGAAGCCGTTTTATAAAACTCGAAGATCATTTTATAAAACTCGAGAAGCCGTTTTATAAAACTCGAAGATCGTTTTATAAAACTCGAAGAATCGTTTTATAAAACTCGAGAATCGTTTTATAAAACTCGAAGAATCGTTTATAAAACTCGAAGAATCGTTTTATAAAACTCGAGAATCGTTTTATAAAACAATAAAACTCGAAGATCGTTTTATAAAACTCGAAGAATCGTTTTATAAAACTCGAGAATCGTTTTATAAAACTCGAAGAATCGTTTATAAAACTCGAAGAATCGTTTTATAAAACTCGAGAATCGTTTTATAAAACGATAAAACTCGAAGAATCGTTTTATAAAACTTGAGAATCGTTTTATAAAACTCGAAGAAACGTTTTATAAAACTCGAAGAATCGTTTTACGAAAACGCAAAAAACCGAAACAGCCGTAAAACGCGAACTAAGTCGGCCCGGCTTAGTTCGCCGATGGGCGAACTAAGAGTCACTCAACTAGTTCGCCCATCGGCGAAATGAACTACGAAAGGCTTGATCCCCTCAAAAGGGTAAGTAGGCAGCCTTCACAAGGTGCAGCCCTAATCTTAAACGCTTTCCGCTCCCTGGAGAGTGGAAATATCACTTTCAACGGACCTTTCCGACCATTAATTCCGCCTAACTTAACTAAAACTGGTTAACCACTCGCAAAAACCTTACGCTAAAGGCTCAGGATTCTTACGAGCTGGGGAGCTAATTGTTGGGGTCAAAATCGGTACGACGGAATCAATGGCCGAAACTCCCTGCAGAAATATAAAAGGAATCGTTTTGTAAAACCCGAAGAATCGTTTTATAAAACTCGAGGATCATTTTATAAAACTCGAGGACCGTTTTATAAAACTCGAGAATCGTTTTATAAAACCCGAAGATCTTTTTATAAAACTCGAGAAGCCGTTTTATAAAACTCGAAGATCGTTTTATAAAACTCGAGAAGCCGTTTTATAAAACTCGAAGATCGTTTTATAAAACTCGAGGATCATTTTGTAAAACTCGAGAATCATTTAAAACTCGAGGATCATTTTATAAAACTCGAGAAGCCGTTTTATAAAACTCGAAGATCGTTTTATAAAACTCGAGGATCGTTTTATAAAACTCGAGAAGCCGTTTTATAAAACTCGAGAAGCTGTTTTATAAAACAAGAAGATCGTTTTATAAAACTCGAGAAGCCGTTTTATAAAACTCGAAGATCTTTTTATAAAACTCGAGAAGCCATTTTATAAAAATCGAAGATCGTTTTATAAAACTCGAGAAGCCGTTTTATAAAACTCGAAGATCGTTTTATAAAACTCGAAGAATCGTTTAATAAAACTCGAGAATCGTTTTATAAAACTCGAAGAATAGTTTTATAAAACTCGAAGAATCGTTTTATAAAACTCGAGAATCGTTTTATAAAACTCGAAGAATCGTTTTATAAAACTCGAGAATCGTTTTATAAAACTCGAAGAAACGTTTTATAAAACTCGAAGAATCGTTTTACGAAACCGCAAAAAACCGAAACAGCCGTAAAACGCGAACTAGTCACGACTAGTTCGCCCATGGGCGAACTAAGCCGGCCCAGCTTAGTTCGCCGATGGGCGAACTAGGAGACACTCCACTAGTTCGCCGATGGGCGAACTAGGAGTCACTCAACTAGTTCGCCCATCGGCGAACTAAGCCGGCCCGGCTTAGTTCGCCGATGGGCGAACTAAGAGTCACTCAACTAGTTCGCCCATCGGCGAACTAGAAGTCCCTCAACTAGTTCGCCCATCGGCGAACTAACAGACACTCAACTAGTTCGCCCATCGGCGAACTAAGCCGGCCCGGCTTAGTTCGCCGATGGGCGAACTAAAGACTTCTCGGATATCCCGCGCCTCGATCTCCCGCATCCCCGATTCAAAACTTACGTCTTTCGACACGGTCGCATTCTGAACCACGGCCGAAACGTCTCCCATTCCGTCTCGATCCGACCTATCATTCAAGTTTTACGATAAAAACCGTAAAACCTCGCTTTCTCGAAAAGAACTCGAGGAAATCGTATAAAACGGCAACGGTTAAACGAAACACCGAACATTGCCTAAACTATACGATTTACTCGAGATTTCTCGTTAAAATCATAAAAAACTCGTTCTAAATAAAAAACGTCGAGAGAATCGTAAAAAAACGGCATCGGATCAAGAAACGGTTTCGTTAAAGTCGTAAAACGGTTTTTATCGTAAAACGGCCCGAAAGGTCCTAAAACACGATAAAAATCCATCTCGCGACGTTAACGAAATCAAACCCCAAGATACGATAACGCTTTGACGGTTTACTCGCAGACGGAAGATAAAAGGCAAGTTTGAAGATAAATTGAAGATTTCCGCAGAAGAAAAGGAAGGATCGACAGATATGGAAAGTTCCCAAAATATTCGGTTTCGAGCAAAATGGAAAGACTAAAACCGCCTAAGGAGGAGTATATAAGGAGGAGGCATAGGGCAGAAGCTGAGGGACGAAATCCAGAGCTCTCATCTAAGACTTTCACAACTTTTCTAGATTTAGAATTTTCCGCACTTAGAAACTTAGGCTTTTTCTCGACAAGTTCGGTTTCTATGACTGGCGCTCAATTACTAGACGAACTCGCCCAGGAATTTCGATCTCTTGTCCAGCTCTATCAACTGAACTACTTTCGACTTGATCCCCGAAAGGGGTACGTAGGCAGCCTTTCATAAGGTTCAGCCCGAAATCATTCAAACCTTTTTTCCTATCTTTTTCCGTTTTTCGTTATCAAGCTGCGACTCGACTAGATCTAGGGTTTTATGTTTGTAACTCGCTGATGGCCCCTGCGGCCAAAGCCTTTGTAATTCCTTGTAATGATCGCAACGCTCTTACGCGAATCGGAAATAAGATCGACTTTCTTTATAAATTCGTTTTGTTATGTTTTTCATATTTTTCCGCATTTATTTGGTTACTTGTCGTTGGCTTTCGCAGAGATCCGGTTCCTCTGGAAAATTAGGGTTTTCCTAAGTTTCCTTATTTAACGGAAATCGACAAGTGTGAATTTCGGTTCCCACAGTTCAGACATTTAAACAAACACCTTATGGGTGGTTAAAGACTAATGATCATGATTAAAGAGGCCAACATTA